TCATTTTCTTCATCTTCCTCATAATCATCATCACCAAGAAAAAAATCATTTTTGTCACTTATTTTTAACTTCTTTGTTGTTGTTGTTGTAGTAATGGATTGTTCTTGGTTTCTATAGGAGATTGTAGAAGATAGCTACTCAACCATCTTTCTTTTTGTTTCAGTAGTATTACCTTCTACAATGTTTTGCCCATTCTGAACCTCTCTTTTATGTACCAGCGTAAGAAATTTGCGGAGTGTACCATTACAGCGATCATTGATCGTTTCAACATAAGATTACGCTGCATTTGAATAGTTCCTTGGCTACCGTTAAAAAGATTCTTGGTTTCAGTTCTGGATAACAGAAACTGAAAAAATCAGGTTCCGGTTCAGTTCCGTTTTTTTTGGGACCGCAGGACTCTACATCGAACGTAACATCTCGGAGAAACGAGGACGAAAACTGGAACCATTTTTCGCTATTGCAATCAAAATATCTCATAGAAGACAGCATTCGGGAACTTTAACTCTTAACAACTTTTGCTCTACATATCAAGATCTACCTACCCTGAAGATTTCAAATTTTTCTGATGTATTTTTTTGTTATTTGATTACCATTTGTTATCTATGATTGATATATCCTGCGATGCAGTGAAGTTTGTACTTTCTCACTGCATACACATTAGTGAAAAAAAGCAAACCATAATAGTCTAAAGTAAGAAATACAAAGAGGGAAATTCAATTGAAGTAAACTGTAGTTCATGTAATGGAGATTGTTTCTAACAAATAACTACTTAGAAAAACGACAAAAATCATAGTAATTTCTTGAAATAATGCCAAAAAAAACCTTGGACCACGCAGACAAAATTCTTCGTGAATATGAACAATAAATAAGCATTAGATCTTTGCGTGTGAGTGTCGATATTCGTCGCCTTCTATTGTCGGCGCCAGAATTAAATAGGGGTGGGTATAAGCTCAATAACTCGACAACCGCAATAGCTAGCGACCTGCGGTTTTCGTCAATCGAAAGAGGAGGAGTTGGGACGCCTTTTTCTCTGATAATGTATAAGACGAAAACCTTTTAAAACTAATCATATTCGAAAAGCATGCAAAAGAACCCATGAAAATGATCTGCCAGCTCGATGAAATTNCAAAACTATATCTGAATGCATTGAAGTTTTACATGTAAAGGTTTCTCGACATCGACTTTCATTTACAATACCTAAATTCAACATTGGAGAACAAATTCTTTATTCTGATAGTTAGAATCATATGGCAAATCGAAATATTTGAAGCTTGTTTAAAAATTTTTGAAAGCACTACTATTCGATGCTGTTTGATATGCTTTTTCAAGTAGAGACTACTCTTTAGAAGCTTCACTATACTGATTCGACCACGTTGTCTAATCTTTCAAGACATGGCTTCTGAAAATGATATATTTATAAGTGATTGTCAACATTGAAAAAATTGCTACTAGAACTCTTTTTATTTGTTAGAAAATATAAATTTATTGAATATTACTGCATTAAAAAGTATTTCAAATATCGACCACCCCCTTATACTTAGAAAGCCTATGTCTTCAGAATGACTCATTTCTTCGGGATGAAACTTTTCAGAGTATTCTTAAATCAGATATGCTTACCTTCTATTATAATATCAGACCAATGCGTGAGCTTGATGGAACAATATAGGTCGGGGCTTACGTACGATGTCTCATAGGACAGTATAATTCAAAAGGAATAAAACAAAAATATTGAAGATTTACTAAAATCATTCTACTCGATTACTCTCACTTTTTCTACTTACGTTTACCTGTATAAATATACATACTTTTTCCATGTGCTCGTTAAGCAATAAACTGTATTTGCAACAAAAACAAAATTATAAACAATCAATGCAGAACACATCAAGCGTCGTATCTTTATATTATGCTCATGTTCTGTTTAATACAGAAAGAAGAGTATAGAGAAAAAAGCAGAACGAAAAATTTCTCCAAAGTGCATTGTTTATAACGTGCATACCAAGCAATCGAATAAATCTAAAAATAACTAATAATAATAATACAGTCCGTATGTAATTTACGCTTGAATTAAAATGAATAAACAATACTAATCTAATTTCGCTGAAGAGTTTCGCAGTATCTATTAAGAACAAACGAATTTTTAGTTTTACGTAGATTGGTGAGTATTGTATCTGATTCTGCGTATATGCTTCTAGATAATTAAATAGGCAGAAGAATATTGAGGAGCAATTAATACTCTTTTTACATTTCTCAGATATACTAATTGAGTTACAAAGTATCTTCATTCGCTGCATCTATTAATTCTAACAATTTAACAAGAATGGCATATAAACTAGATCATTTATATGAATATTTGAAGCCAGTGATGTACACCCTATTTCAATATATTAGATATTTTTTAATTTTAAGATTTGAATTAGACAAATGCATATTATTTATCATTAATTTGAATAAATGTAAATTTCAAAGTTTATACTGCAATTGTAGAAACACTTTGAAATTAATACTGTATCAGCTTGTAATTTTTTTTGCAACGCATTAAGTTTAAAATAAAATATAATTTAGAGCTTTTTTTCCAAGACAATCATTTGAAACGGATAATCATATCTGATATATAATCATTTTTTGCGAAAATCTAGAATCAAATAATGTTTACTTAATTTTGAATAGGTACTAAATTTTTGAATTTCGTAATCAAAATTGTCTGGCAGACGAAATATCGTATTGAAAGGAACAAATCTTTTTGGAGTCAATTAATGGATTTTAACAAAAGGAATAATTATGTGGAATAATACATTCGGTGATTTACTAAAAGCCTAAAATCAATAGTAAATATCGAAGTTGTAAATTTTTAGAAATATCCATGAATTCATCTACAATAGATGTAAGTAAAGTTAGCACCAGATTCGAGTATTTCTTGTCCCGATTCGCTTTCTTACCTGTGTTAACTCTCTCAGCACTTGTGTTAGGAGCAGAATTTTATGCTCTATCGAATGCTACTAGTTTCAAGAGCGGTCATCGGGCAAAAACCACCACTTTTCCCCGAAATACTGTCTCTTTCCCTGTGTAACAGCAACAAATATCCTGTATTTCTTATCAGGATTCGCTCTACGACTTGTGTTAATCTTCTAATTCAGTGTGTTAGATGCAGAATTTAATTCGCTATCCGATGGTGCTCTTTCCAAGTGCTGTTATCGGGCAAATACGGCGGGTTGCATCCTAGCTACCGGGTCCATGACTAGAATTCGTGTGTAATCCTTGTCTCGATTCGCTACACGACTTGTATTAAGTTTCTAATTGACTGTGTCAAATGCAGAATTTAATTTTCCTTCTGTTGGTACTCTTTTCAAGTGCTGCTATCGGGCAAAAACGGGGGGTTATTCCCCAAATACCGGGCCCAGAACTAGATTCCGGGTGTAATTCTTGTCCCGATTCGCTACACGACTTGTGTTAAGTTTCTAATTGAGTGTGTTAAATGCAGAATTTAAATTTCTATCTGATTCTGATATTTTCATGTCGTGTTATGGAGCATTAACGGAGGTTGTACCCGAAATACGATACCCACCAGCAGTTCCAGACTTTAAGCCTTGTCTCCACTTGCTGTAGAAGCTGTTTACTTTCTAATTGATTGAGTGGTATGAGAAAGTTGATTTACTATGAAAGGGTATAATATTGTAAGGAAAAACGGAGGATGATGTGGGTGTGGGTGGATGTGGGTGGGTATGAGTGTGAATGTGGATGTTTCAGACAAAAGCCATACACCCACACTCACGCTTACCCTGCAGCCACCCACACCCACATCTGCGCTAATTTTATAGATCGTCGTTCATGATTGAAGGCTAATAGTGTTGACGAATAGGGTAGTGCTCTTGGAAGAGCACCATCGATAATATTCGAGGAAAATTGTTGAGGATGATCAGATTTGAATGGTACGATGTATGATTCACCTCTCTCGTTGCTATAGACTGATGTTGCTAGTATGCCATTCTTGTGTTCAACATACACGTCGAGAAACGATCTATTTTCATCAATTTGTGAGTATGGCTATGGTAATTATCATCACCTAGTTAGACAAACGTTGAAAAAAACGAAGTTTTTGGGCGTAGAAAGCACACATTTTAACGTTTCATGAGAGTAACTTTTTTTCGAAAATTAAAGCAACGTTGTTAATAGCAACATCGAGAAAATGATTCTTTTCCGAAAATAAACACTTTTTAACACCTAGAAAATGTGCCGTTTTTACGCGTAAAAATGTCGTTTTTTTCAACGCTTGTCTGGCTAGGCATCTCACAGTCACACTCTTGTATGAATTCAGAAACTGACGAACAAAACTGAATCATGGACTTGTTTGAAAAGCTCGATTGTTGCTAAGAACATCGAGCATAAGCTCAGGTGAAGAGAAGGTATCTGGTGATGAAAGTGACGCATGCAGTATAGCAGAAAGTCTGCGTTTGCAGGCAGATTGATAGTATATGGCCTAGTATCCTTTGTAAGGCAGTATTAAAAGAACATGTTTATGGCCACCACTATAAAATCTCTCTAGCAAAGACACCTCCATAAAATAGATGATTTGAAAAAGTCCTGAAAGTGTCCATCCAAGAGAATTTTACTGTAACAACATTTTTTCAATCATATATTTATTCATTATCAATATTGACTACAGGAAAAAGGCCTTATTGTTCGTGTGTGTAACGAAATGTATAACCTTTATCTATCTGTTTCCCTCTATTTGACCGTGTGACTCTTCTTTTCTGGTGTGGCCTCTATCATAGACTGCTATTCATTGTCTATCTCTTCTATATTAGCATATGTTCTGTATATAAACGAGACTATATTTTGTGTGAAAAAGCCAAATAAAGCGAGTATTGCTACCTCACGGACATTTCTCCTTTCATGTTCGTTACAGTATTGACGGCATCGATCAAATAGAACAGACGAGTGTATGAATATAAATATTGACCTTCATATAAAAAGTTGATAAGAATAAATCAGCGAGAGTAAAGATGGAATATTCAAGCATTGAATTCAATAATTTATCTGATGAAATCTTTATGATTATTTTCAAAAAACTCAACAATCTTGATGTACTTTATTCTTTACAAGGTGTCAATCAGCGAATCAATAAAATTATTAAGGATCCAATATTTACAAATCGTTTGACTTTTGTTAAATGGTTATCAGATAGTTTTATCGATCTAATTTGTTGTGATGTGATAGTCGATCGGCTTTGTTTACAAATTTTACCAGAAATTCATCATAAAATCAAATGGCTTGATCTTGAATCATCATCTATGACACATGTTTTATATGCTGCCCATTATCCTAATTTACATAGTCTCGGGCTTTATTATATTCATGAAGAGTCACTTCGATGTCTTTTTACTGGTAAGAAGTTTCAATTCAATTGTTTTGATTCTTAACAAAAATGAAAGATTTGTCAAATTTATTCATATTGATGATTGCATCATTTGAATATATTAATATTATTTTCATAGGTTTATTTCCTTACGAATTTTGTATATTTGTTTAGATGAAACTTTTTCGCCTGGTACATTCAAAAAACAAATTACAACACTTTTAATTACAATTGATAATAATAAGGAGACACGAGAGATCGTAGTAGACTTATTCGATTATATTTTGACTGTTTTCACCAGTCTAAATTATTTAGCATTATACGAATCATCGTATAAAAAAACGTCTTCGATTATTTTTTGACGATCCACCTCCTCCTACATTTCGTTCTTCAACACTTCTAAAATTGAGTGTTAGATTACAAGGTATTGATGATTGTCTTCATCTTCTCGATGGTCGTTTTAATCAACTTCACACAGTCTATGTTGATTTGCTTAATCTTCATTGTTCACATGAAATTCAAAATCAAGTTAGTTTTACAAGAATAATCTGTATTTTGTCAATTAATAAAACAACAAAATTTTTTTTTTAGGAAAATTTACCGAATCTTAAATGCTTTTCTGTCCTGTAATTTCGAAACATATAATTACAATGAAACAATTCTCCCACTTCTCTATAAAATGTTAAATCTAGCAGAACTCGCTTTATATATTGCAGTGTATGTTGATGAAACATTTATTGATGAAAACCATTTGAAAAGAAACATTATTAATTGTATGCCACAATTAAATCAATTTACATTCTATATACGCTCAATCATGTGTATTCGTAATGCAATAAATTTGCCATCAACAGAAGATATTCAACGCACATTCATTGACTTTCCAAATAATGAAGTCATTTCTTATGTTGATTATTTTCCACAGACAAAACAAAGTCGATGTCATATTTACTCATATCCATCCTTTATGCCATATTATAGCAATATCACAAATAATTTTCCAGGTGGACTATTCAAATATGCCCGTGTAGTATCGTTACATGATTGTTAGCGGTCACCCCTTGTTGTTACTTTTCTTTATTTTTCTCTCTTCTCTCTTTCTTGTTATTAGATCTATCTCGATGTTATATAACCTTGATCACTCTTTGTTATTTGTCCTTAAGTTTGACCCTTGATCTAGGTAGTCGAGATATACATATATATATTCTTTTTTTTCTTTACAAGGGCAGATATAGCTGTGTTACTGTACGTGTGTATGGGGACATATTTGATTTTGAAATAAAATAAAGAAGGTCGAACATCAGACCTCTAATAATGATGAATATCCTTTTTTCTTCGGATTGTTCAATCATTTCCATTTATGGAAAAACTAACTTTGACTAATAAGAAACCGCAAAATTGGAAGCAATTTCATGAATTGAGCAATAATAATGAAAATTTATCTGTTATAAAATACTCTGTTCTTAATGAACTTATTATTATCGATGTTCATGATGATTATATCGAAGAATTCCTGCTTGATACTACAACGAATTTACCAAATAATATTTTTCTTTGTGTCAAGTATGAATCATTGAAACGAGTAACACATAATTTCACAAGAGATGCTACACGAATTAATTGTGCCAAAATAAATGAATTAGAATTCTTTTCTGAGACAAAATGTTCGAATTATTTACAAGAATATTTTCCTTATGCAAAAATATGTTACTCAACAACATTTGCCAAGACAAAACAATAAAGTAAAAAAATCTCTATAGAGATGAAAATGATTACGTGCGATAAGTAGCAATATGTGACAGAAATTAGTTTTGTTTGAATAAATATGTGTATAATGTATTTGGTTAGAAGATAAGTTCTGTAAGTTTTCTTTCGTTTATCTATAAATTTAATTTATGAGAAACATGTGTAACATCAGTCAAGAATATGATTGCTATTATTTTCGAGAATGTTCGTTCATCTTGCTAACAATTGTTCGATCTCATGTTTGTAGAAACTGGCTGGTTGCGATTCGAAAAACAGATAGTGAAGCCGAAATTGCGTTCATCGAAGCCTTCGTTGTGTTTCTTGCACATATTATTTAGAGAAAAGATCGAACCAATGATGATTTGATAGTGTAACGACCTGATGAGCATGATGCGCGTGCAAGAACTTGTCATACAAACTGTTCAATGTTTTGCTGAATCAACTTTGCAACGTGTAGTTTTCCATTGTCATGAGAGAAGATGATGGGTTTTCGATTAGACAAAACCAGTTGCTCTTAAATCAGACCTTCATGCAAACGTTGCAATTGTTAAGAATAGACATAGGCGGTATCGTCTAATTAGTATCTAAGGCTTCAAAATGGATGACACCTTGTATATTCTACCAGATGCACAACATTGTCTTTTTTAAGTGTAATTCTACTTTTCCCTTCGATAATGGGTTTTCATTATGTACTAACCTGTAGTTTTTACAGCGAACATCCAGGCGGCAGATTCTTTTCTCATCTTCAATGGGAATTTGTTCCAAACATGTTTCACGGTTGCGCCAGGTCAACAGCGAAACACGAGTCGATACCCACTAAGCGAACTTGCCTAAGAATAAATTGGCATGGAAGCCAATTTCTGTACTTATTCGTCTTGCTGCGAGCGTGAAGATGAGTATTTACTATCATGTGAGAACAATTGAGTTGTGCGGTTAAAGTGCGTGTTGTTCGACGAAGGTCGATAGGAAGCTAAGCTTCCAAAGCTTCGTCATTAAAGTTCACAAATCGCTTTGAACGGGTCTTAACCGTCAATGTGATATCTCTGAAAGAGAATTTTGCAAGCTGGGATGTGAGTGAGCGGGGGTCGATGTATGGGTGTCAGTATGTGAAGAGAAAATCAACATCCCACGCCGACACTCACAGCCTCGGCAAAGCTTTCTCTGAGGGCTTCTAGAGTAAAATATACGAATAGGAAAACGCCCATTGAATTAGAAAAATCTTCGCAAAGATAAACAATGTACATTCTATAATTTCGATTCTTCTGAGACAAAACGAAAGTTAGATTGAATATTGATATGTATTTGTATAGGAGAGCTCCGAAAATACTCAAGAGATAGTTCTTTTGCAATGTGGAGCTTTAGTTGAAACAAGCTTTTCATTTGGTAATATTTTTCCAAACATTTACGATACCATCAAGATAAATTATACAATCTGTAAAGCTTTTTCCAAGCATATTCCATTTTTAGGTTCTATTACGTTGTGTTGATATCTAAAATAATGGGAGTAAAAGAATGGCTGTTGAAACAAAACCTATCAGTCACAAAAGAACCTTGCTGTCGAACAGCGATCGCAAATGTTTAGCAAAGATAATTCGAATCTAACAATCTCATAGAAGAAACAATTGTAACCAAAGAAACACAACGCACATCTCGAATTCGTAGAAACATTTAATCTAGGCTTAATAAGTCGAATTTCAAACACAAATACTATTTACAATGAAATACGGATCCCATATTGTTCTTGAGAAATATCATTCTATTTTGTATCTTTCTTTTTCTAACCAAAGTCAAAAACATAAGACAACTACCTGTGACACTTCTAAAAGCAATAATTATTAGGGTGGATGTGGGTGTTTGCGTGATTGAAGCAGGTATCCACAGCCACACCCACGATTTGAGAAAAAAATGAAATATAAGATAAAAATCAATCGGTCACTGTTCTATAGACTGATGATGCTTGTCACTTGATCCTATCCCGTTCCGCTAGTTGAAGTGAATCGTTTCTTTTTGCGCTCGTCGTCCTTCTTGAGAAGAGCAAGAATACGAATGAAAATATTCATGGTATCGAGATAAATATCTAGAGACTCATCAATGGGCGATAATGTTCGAGTATCCTGAGCTTTCTCAGCATTGGCAATCATCTTTTGAGTGTCGTATAGAAGAACTCCAAGGAAGATCGACAGGCCACCGTATAGTGAAATACATTCTAATACTGACAAGGTTCTGATGGCAGTATCCGGCAGAATTGTTGAACTGATCGATGCCAAGCATACCACAGTGACACCAGCCACTAAACCATACAGATCACATAGTGAAAATTTCATTAAAAACTTACTTAATGGAGCTCCTAACCAGAGATATTGCTCCCGTTGAGTAGTCATACCGACAGCACTGATTGAAATTACGACGCCCGTAACCAAAAGAGCAGCGCGAACAACTAGACTTGATTTTAGGTAGCAAAGCGGTGATAAAATTAGGCCGAACGAACTGTTGAACAATGTCCATGCGGTATATTTTAATACTGGATTATGATGTTGGTCGATCATTTGGGTTGCGAAACCGGATCCAAAACTAAAGAGTAGAGTTCCACCAACGGACATCCATTTGTTCGCTGTCATTAATCGCATGGACCATCCGACACGATGGAAAAAATAGGCGAAAGCACCCGTCATCACCAATCCACCAGCAAAGTGCGCATAAGTCGCACGAAGATGTTCTTTCACTATAGCAGAATAGGCTCGGTTTTTTAGCAAGCCATTGGTTGTAGGACTTTCCTCGGACGAGGCTACGACGCGAGAACTATTGAATACCTGTTATTAAGTAAAACTAGAGACCAGAAATTCGAAAGATATTTGTTCTTACTTTGTTTAAAATATATCCAGTGGTTCCAATGGTGACCAATGCTAATCCACCTCGAATTAGTACTTCCTCTGGTTCCTGGATCCATTGTTTCAGAAAAGGAGAAAGTTCAAACTTGGATAACATTTGATGAGAATAAGACGAAACAAGTCAGGTCGTAGGCAGGCAAACTAGAAGATGAAAAACTGTCATCTTTGACTGCAGCGGTATTGAGTAAAACGGAACCCACAACTTCAGACACGAATGCGAGTTAAAACATTAATAGATTCGTGGCAATCATTCACGACGAGAGAAAAGTGGCACGAATAGCAAACACACACGGACGAAGGAGAGAACATATGAATAATCTTAATGAAGCATAGTGCAGTCACTTTTCTTTCTGTTTTGATTTAACTACACTTACTTCGCATTCATTCAACAGTGATGCAGTTTTGATTATCCAAACCGCATTTTATGCCAGTAGGAAAATGCTCTCGTTGATTCGATAAGATTACAACAGGTCTATTTTGTATCTGACACCGAAATATCGATCTTTTCGTGCCATTGTGAAAATGCTCGACTGAAAAACGTATCTTCATCAGTGGATTTCAGTCGTTTCTGTATGTTCTCAGAAATCTGCAGCATAAATATCACTACCGTCAATCACGGTCGCTTTCATTCGATCGAACGAAGATTGATAGAAATGAGTCAACACCCTCTCTTATTGGCTGTAAGGTCGATGCACTTCAGAAAAACAATTTGTGATTTGATAGGTTGTTGTTGATTGCCGTCATCTGATCAAGCAATTTTTTATGGAAGACTTACTGTGACCAAAGAGAAATAAGAATGGATTGTAAATGACTGTGCGTGAGTATTCGGCGATCAAAACAGTTCAAATGAAAATCTTACAAGATCAATCGTTTAATGCAACATCCGTTGTCTCCCTTTACCATCCACTGTTCCATCATTTGACGTACATCCATGCCTAACATCAAGAGTGAAATGCTATCATATTCATCCACAACAACTGATTAGTCATTAATACATCGTTCAATCACAGAATATCAAAACGACAATCCAGTTTTTTCGCGAGACAACAACGAATCTCACACCTAGAACAGCTTTTGTCGATGTTGTCGAATAAAGATCGATGAGAAATGTTGCTGGCTTATCGGCATGATTCTGTTAGTGATCTATGTTGAATGCAATCTTATTCATAGCGGCCTTGTCTCTAGCTACAGATAGCTGAAAATTGTCAATGTAATATTGAAAATATTCACTTTTTATAAAAACACGTCAAAGTGCGATATTCTTTGGATTATTTATCTATATAAATAAAGGGTTCCAGTTGATTCACTTCCTAAATATATTCGAATTGAATTTGCGTCAATCAAGAAAATCCATTACCCAGTGGCGCGCCAAAATACAATACCGGATTAGAGAAACTCGAGTTTATTATCCGAATCAGACGTATTCAAGCATCAGCGAAGAGAGACTCCCTAAAATATCGATTCAGATCAAATCGTACCAGTTCGCCAAGGTCAACAGACTATCTCAGTAAGCATCGATATGCTCATGAAGAAAGATAAACACACATCCGGTGCTCGGAAGTACGAATCCAAATACACAAAAGTCAGAGATTAGTCCTTAGACTCCACTGTGGATAGCCGATTCAAGGAAAGATTTAAAATAATCAGAATGTCTCAGAAGGTCAATGTCGAACGGCGTCATGGTTTCTGATGACATTAACTTTTTGCTAGAGAGCTAACAAACACCACGATAAAGATTCATTATCAACGCACGAGGTAACGAAACGAAGGTCATAAAGAGTGACTCTGTCGGCAATGTACCAGAGTTTACATCGACTTTATGCGAATGGAATGAAACCTTCAGAGTTTATAAGACTTGTACCTGTAAGACTAAACATAGGTCTAAAAAATGTTAAAACCTTTGAGAAGGGGTTCAAATAGGGGAACAATTTCCAGTCTCTCAACAAAAACTTGATTTCTGCAATTTCTGCATTCTACATGATAGAAAGCTGAAACTGCTAGATCAGATACTATTCGAAGAGACGATCATTTCAAAAACCGGAAACTGTTTTGTCCGACGTTTTCTTTGCATCGAAAATTTTCCCACAAGAATCAATTTTTCGGACTT